GAGAAAAAATATTTGTATAAAATCCATTTATTATCCGATCAACTTGGGAATAGTTTACAAATGTTTGCCATGAAATTTACGTTTTCTCTAATAGCCGAACAGCTTATTAAAGAGAACGGCGTGGCAGTGAATCATCGTGGTAAAACAATTGTATTATTGACACGACGAGTATAATCGATGTAGTTTTTATATATGTTGCCGGTCGAACGCATCCTTATGTGACCTTTAATACTTATGTTCTCATAGAACATTCTATTGCGAGCACATTGGTACAAAAATGAAATACATACATCGACAAATAATGTCAGGACAGTGAATTGAATATGCACTTTTCAAAGCGAGTTTCGCCGATATGCCGCCGCGGGTAACACTTCGGCCACTTCCCACACTGTTTTGGGTGGTCTACGACATTGAATCTATATTTATATGCATATGTCCGTGTAGAGAATTTTATTGCGATTCCAATGATACCACAATTAGCGTTGTAGGACAACTGTAGGCTTCGCAACCATTAAGAGAGTGGAAACATTTTGTTGCTGTTTGATGCTCTCGGCTAGTGATCTGAATAGTTTTTTATTTGGTGTTGATAATCCTTATGCTTTGGCGGCATTTTATAGATATGTTCTTATAGACAATTTTATTGCGAACACAGTGATACCAAATTTAAATACGTGCGCCTGCAATTATTGTCAGGACAGTCAAAAGAGTGTACACTTTTTCAGTCTTACCGCGTAGGCGCGCGAAGCGCCGAAAGCATCTAGGGTATGATTTTTTTTTGAACGCCGAGAGTGCGAAAGTGTTAAGTTTTCGTGGGCCACTTTTGCGGTTGCCAATTTGTCTGTTAAATAGCAGGGGGGAGTTGTGTAAAATCCTGGTTTGTGCCTTGGAGAGGCTACGGGATCCAGTAAGTTCAGTAGAACTTCAGTTTCAACTCTTTTTAACCCTGTCGTAGCTCAGTCGATTAAGGCAGTGTCTGGGATGCTCCCGGACGCAGGTTCGAATCCTCGTCACAGCCCTTGTGGATTTGTTCATTTGATGCATCACATTAGTGTGATCTCTGTGTATAAGAGAGATTATGACCTGCGAGCACAGCTACAGGTCATAATTCATAAATTTTCATCTTAATTGTTCAGGGTTAAACTCCAGCGTGATCTCATGACAGATTGAAGAAATGCAAGGACCGTTTATGTCCAGACTTGGTTGTTAGATTTAAGCGGCGCAGGTTCAGGAAATATCAGCATTACCTTATGAAGACCTCTATTGTGCATGTAGGCGGCCATATGATGGGAAATTTATGGTACAGTGTGATAGGTGTGCAGGGTGGTTTCATGGAGACTGTGTGGGAGCAACCATTGCGAATGTATGTTCTAGGCCAGATTATGTATGTCCACAGTGTAGAGACCCAAGCCGGGAATAGTTAAATGCATGTCCTCCTTACTGTAATGGCACTGTCCTTTACAGACCCCAACGCCGGCAGCACGATGACCACCAAGAAATCCTCAGACTTTTCATATTAATGGTCTGAGCATGAGCAGACGGAGCCTGAAGTTCATTTAGCAACTGCAGGGATGACTTCCTCTTCCTCAGACTTTTCATATTATGGGTCTAAACGCCAGCCGAGGGAGCCAGAAGTTCCGTCAGAAGCCCGAGGGATGGCCATTTCATTTGAGATTCGAGTTTTTGGATAATGAGTTCAAATTAAGTCTAATGGGACCTCCAGGGGAGGTAGCACCAGTGATCGCGAAGATCATGGACATGGGAGCCCCTACAGATTCTGATTTTAGCTGGAAAACAAGCTACCCAGTGAGCCTATATGCTGGGGAGGGTCCGAGGGCCTCCACAAGCTCATTTAGGGTATCCCCACTTTGGGAAGTGGCTTTCTTTGACAGCCATTTGAGGGTCAATGACACCCTACGTTCAGTTTCGATCAATATGTTTGCCTTCGTTTCAATTTGGCTGTAGTGTCCTTCGTTACCCTTTGGAATTTGGTTTGTTCAGAGAGTATGAGGTTCATACTTTCTAGTAATGAACCTCATACTCTCTGACCAAACTAAATTCCAAAGGGTAACAAAGGACACTACAGCTGAATTGAAAACAAAGGTAAACAGTGATCGAAACTGTGAATGCCAAGAAATCTGGACTCCACCTGTCAAAGGTTATTGGGGAATACAAACCTGGGTATGCGTATGGAAATGTCAAGACCCACAAGCCTGGAAACCCACTTCGGCCAATCATCAGCCAGATACCCACACCCACATACAGACTGGCTAAGTGACTCAATGGCTTGCTGACTCCGTATGTACCCTGTGCTTTCAGCCTGAAGTCTCCAAAGGAATTTGTTGACTTACTGCGAGGAACACGGGCCACAGGGATTAGAGCCTCATGGGATGTAAAATCACTTTACCAGCGTACCTGTGGATGAAACAATCAGGGATTATAGACAGATTGTATTGTGATCCGGCTTGTACTCCTCTTGACATACCAGAAAACATACTTAAGAAACTATTCCAAGCTTGCACTAAAGAGGCACCCTTCTTGAGCCCAGATGGACATATGTATAAGCAAGTAGATGGGGTCGCTATGGGTTCTCCCCTAGGTGTCCTGTTTGCGAACTTCTACATGGGTACCATCGAGTAGAAGGTCTTAGTTGACATGGACTTGAAACCCGCCATATACTGTAGGTATGTTGACAACATTTTTATGTAGGTACCTGATGCCAGACATCTGCAGGAGCTGAAGGAGGCATTTGAACGGAATTCTGTGTTGAGTTTCACTTACAAGATGGAGAGGGATGGGAAGCTGCCCTTTCTAGACGTAATAGTCACGGAAAGGAGCGGAGGCGTCCACACTGCAGTCTGCACTAAGGAAACGAACATAGGAATGTGCCTCAATGCCAATAGTGACTGCCCAGACAGGTACAAGAGGAGTGTTGTCAACGCTTACGTCGATTATGCTCTCGGCCACAACTTAGGATGGAAGCAAGTCGATGAAGAACTCTGTAGGGTAAGACAGGTCCTAGTCAACAACGGCTTTTGATAGTTTTGTTGAAAACATCATAAAAAGAAAGGTAAAACGCCATGCAACCTCTGAAGGGTCAACTAACACAACACATGTACCCCCTATTAGACTATTTTACAGGAACTTCTTTTTGACGGCTCATAAAACAGAGGAAAGGGTCCTGAAAGATATTAATAAGAACATCATCCCTACAGACAAAAATCAGAAAATACAATTGATGATTTACAATATAACCAAGAAAGCAGCCTACCTACTCATAAAGAACTCTCCAGGCACCAAGCATAACGCCTTAAAGGAATCCAACGTCATCAATGCCTTAAAATGCCCACTTGGGGACTGTAAGCCCCAAAGAACTCAGTATATAGGCAAGACAACAATGTCTCTTTCCAGGCGATTAACAATGCATAAACAACAGAGCTTCATCAAGAAACATATAATCTCACCTCACAACCAGATCATCACCAGAGAAATCTTAAAAACACAGAAATCATCAATAGATACAGCAATAGCAGGCGGCTCGACATCCGCGAGGCACTACACATCAAAAAGTCAACACCAGCAATCAACAGCCAATTAATGCAAACTATATTCTACCCACTTCAAGACTCTGAACCAATATAGAAACATCAGGAGGAAGTGGTTATGCTATGGGCCAATAGGCCTTCTGCAGTTACTTCCATTCATATGGTTTTATACCCATTGGTTTGAGTTCTGTCTTGTGTAAATGTCAATCACCTCGCCCAAAATTTTTATATCACCTCACCCAAATGCGAGTATAAGTATGGATGTGTTTACAGGTTACAGTTGTGTGTGTAAACTAAAGTCTTTGAAAATGTAATAAGTTATTACGGAACACGTTCAAGCGTCGCGTCAGACTAGAAATAAAAATGAATTTTGGAGAACTGATTTTTCAATTACCATCGGCAGTGAAAAGAAATATGGAGAAGATTTGTGGTAAAATTATGAATCTTGCCTTTTCAGACGTATTTAACAACACACACACACACACACACACACACACACACACACACACACACACACACACACACACACACACAGTGGAGTGGGAGGGGGCAACTATCAGGCAACTTCGAAGAGAAAAAGTGTGTACAAGTGAATGAAAAAACCTTGGGTTTTGACCAAAGCCATAAGGTAGTGAAGAAAAACAGTTTAAATAGCGTAATTCAAAATAGTTGGAGGAAGTACTGTGGCAGTGTGCAGTGTGGAGCACCGGCCTCTGACCGCGTGACCTCACCCCCGGCAGCAACCCTCCTACCACCACGGGGGACGACGATTGGAGATTCACTCACCTATTGTGTTAGCAGGACGGTAAGATACTTGGAACCCCTGTGGGTAAGGTTGCATTATAGCAATGACTAGGTCAGGAAGGGTGTCTAGGTCCAACAGTATTATGATTGAGGAAGAAGATAGGTTTGTGGAGAAGATGATTGGGAAATTTGTAGAGAAGAGGGATGTTTGGATAGATGATCTAATCCAGGGGATTAAAAGTGAGGTCTTTAATAAGATACAGGACGAGGTTCAAAGACTCAAACAAGAGTTTATGGATTATATTCAAGAGGAAATCAGGAAGAGCAGGGTAGAATGGCAAGGGGAAATATCTAGGCTTACTAATGAATTTGGCAGGAATAAGGGAAGCTTGGCTGGGGAAGGGGAAGTAGTAGTAGGTGGAGTAGCAGGAGTGGGAGGGAGGGGGCCACCAGCATGACCCTGAACTGAGAAAGAGGACAATCATAATCCATGGATTACTTGAAGCCAGGGCACCATCGAGGCAGGAAAGGATGGAGATTGAGGATTTGGAGCTACAGGGGATCTTGAGAGACATGAGAGCCCAGATGGCAGGGAATGAGGTGCAAGTCCAACGACGCATTGGGCGATACAACTGTAACAGGAAACGACCTGTCCTGGTACAGTTCACTAACGAAGAGGCAGTGGATTACATACTGCATCATAAACACTTACTCAGAGGTAGTGAAAATTACTACAATGTATATATTGACAAATTCATGACGAAGGAGGAGCAGATAGCCCACAGAGCAAGCAAACAACAATACAACTCTTCCCATTTGAGTGTAGCTACACACCCCAATGCTAATCCACCCCATGCTAACCAGCTCACACCTTCTCAGGTCACTCCTTCCCCAAATCAGCCGCCCCTGCTTATCTCCCCAACACCTCCCTTGACCCCTCTGACCCCACTGCAGTCAAATTCATCCCACATTCCAAGGACCCCCTCATCACCTCAACCCCCAAAACCCGTCCAGCCCTCATCCCCTCAACCCCCAAAACCCACCCAGCCCTCATCCCCTCAACCCCAAGAAACCACCCAGCCCTCATCCCCTCAACACCCAAAACCTACCCAGCCCTCACCCCTCCTCATCCCCTCTCCTTCCATGTGACCCCCCACCCTTGCGAGGGGGGTGGGAGGTTCCCCCCACCCCCTCTATCCTTCCCCCTCCCAACCTCTCGACCTCTATCTGACTCCCAACCTTACGCTATCTCCCAACCCCTCTATGCCCTCCCTAATCTTCAGACCCAGTATGCCCTTCCTACTCCAGACCTACCTACCCAGGCCCTACCCCAGACCCTCCTACCTACCTTCCTAGAAGCCCAGCCCCCAGTAGCCCCCCAAGCACCCCTCCTGACCTCTTTCACCCCCCATACACCCCCCGGACCCCCCCCCCCCAGACACCCCCAGGATCCCCCCCCGGACATCCCCCGGATCCTCCCCGCCCCCAGTCATCCCCCAGACACCCCCCAGATCCCCCCTGCCCCCAGTCGCCCCCCCAGACACCCCCCCAGATCCTCCCAGACCCCCAGAGAAAGGGAGAACTCTGGTACAAGAGTTCCATGAAGAATCTCAAGGTTTGGTACACCAATGCTGATGGGTATCTAATAAAGCAGAAGAGATAAAAGAAAGAGTGAGTGAAGCAGATCCTGACATAGTTGCAATTGTGGAAACTAAAATTAATGACATGATCTCAGATGCAATCTTTCCTGAAGGGTACCAGGTGATACGAAAAGAGAGGACACAGAGACAGGGAGGGGGAGTAGCACTCCTAATAAAGAGGAAATGGAAGTTTGAAGACCTGGGAAATCGAGTTACCAATGAGTGCACAAGCTTCATACATGGAACTCTTGACAGTAGATGGGAGGAAGATTGTGATCTTGGTAATCTACAATCCCCCACCAAACAGTAGAAGACCCAGGCAGGAGTATGATGACAACAACAAGGCATGTATAGATGAACTGCAGAAGGCAGCAACACTAGCCCACAGAATGAGAGCGAAGCTGCTGATCATGGGGGACCTAAATCATGGAGAGATAAATTGGGAATCAAGGAATCCCCATGGAGGGGATGAAACGTGGGAAGCAAAATTAGTAGATGTTATAGACAGGAATTTCCTAACACAACATGTGAAGGAAGACACAAGGGATAGAGGAGGAGATGCACCGAGCCTATTAGACCTGATTTTCACCCAGAACGTAGAAGATATTGGGAATTTAGAGCATGAAATACCTCTAGGGGCCAGTGACCATTGTGTCCTAGTCTTTGACTACATGATGGAATTCAAACTTATGACCATGGGACAAGAGATCTGGGAAAGGAGAGTTGACTACAGGAAAGGGGACTATAAGAGGATAATTAAGATACTATCTGCGTGAAGTGCAGTGGGAGGAAGAAATTAGAGGAAAAACAGTCCAAGATATGATGAACCTAGTCATACAGAAATGCCAGGAGGCCGAAGAGAGATTTATACCAACAGTAAAGAGAAAAAATAAGAAGGAATATAATAACCCATGGTTTAATAGACAGTGTCAGGAAGCAAAAATGGCCAGCAGGCGGGAGTGGAGGAAGTACAGAAGACAACAGGATCAGATACAACAGAGCTAGGAACGATTACATTAACATAAGACGAACATCGGAAAGGGACTATGAGAACGATATTGCAATCAAAGCGAAAAAACAACCTAAGTTACTACACAGTCATATAAGAAGAAAAATGTCGGTGAACGACCAAGTGACAAGACTAAGGAAGAC